TAGCAATCAAATACACCACAGCCAGAACATACGAAACGGCCAAAATCAAAACAGCATGCTTCATAAGAAATATAAGCACTGAAGCAGGAAGAATGATAAAACTACCTTTGCTTAAAAATTTCATAGCTGTACTACCCTCAGACATTTCTGCAACAGGCGTGGAGTAGAGTGATTTCTCTGCCGCCTCTCGAGTGTTTTTTTTAATGCGAGCTCACCAGGTAATACCGCTGGCCACTGCCACAAGGTTTGATCAAGTCCCACTATGGTCACACAGTCTGTGCTTTCGAACAGGAACAAGTATCTGTCTTTGGATGACAGCAAATTGAAATGAAAACACATAATTTACCGATAATCACAGCTAAAAAGAACAACTAAAGACAGAGAATAAAAGTTAAATGCATTAGAAAACAAATGCCTAAGAGAAATGATGAATATAAAAATAGGATTATTTCCACTCTACCTACAACTTCTAAAAAAAGTTCATACAGGCAACCAACCTGATGGTCTGATCAGGGCATACGAAACCGAACGCAAAGAAGAAGAAATAGGATGATTCAAAGTGGATTAAAGAAAAAAGAGAAATGTCGAGGCAAGCACTAGTATCAACAGTTAAAATATGCATTCTTAGAAAAGACAAACACAGAATTACCAAAGGCGGTGAAGTGGGAAATAGATGGATGAAGGAAAGGACGTCCAAAAGAAACCCTAGAATGAACACTGATGTGAGACACCAAAGTTGCTGTACTGGGTTAAATCTACGGTTCCAAAGTGATCACACAGAATAGAATGGAAGGGAGGAATCGACTGTGAACCCTATGTGACATATAACGGAATAACAGGATGATGATGCTGATGAATGACAGCTAAGAGTGGTGTGTACAAAATGTACTTTATGGTCATGTCTACATCTCAAGATGGTAACTACCCTTTACAGGATTTTGCATAACCAAACCCAGCCTTTTTAGGCTGTTTGGTTTTATTAGACATTTATATGTTTAGTAGTTTGCTGTTGTAAATAGAATAACTAATGTAGAGCTTTGGGAGAGAACTAAACAGGCTTCAGTTGACCAAGAGGTGAGGAAAAGATGCTGGCGTTGGATAGGACACACACTGAGAAAACAGGAGAACAGCATAACTAGAATGTCTTTGCATTGGAACCCACACGGGGCATAGGAATAAAGGAAGGCAAAAAAACACATGGAGAAGAAAGCTGGAGAATGAAGTTAGAAAGATGGGGAGGACATGGGGAGAGCTCTATGTAATAACGAAGGATAGAACGACTTGGCGTGAGTTGGTTGAGGGCCTATGCTCCATTGGGGATAGAAATGCAAAAGAAGAAGTTTGCCGTTGCTTCTGAACAGTCACCTCTCAATACCAAAACAATCTAATACCAAACTATTTACAGATGTAATTGTACTGCATATTTTGGAAATAGGAGGCAGTGTCGCAACACCACAGCCACAGAAACAGACACAATTTAAAAAACCCTATATATATATTTGTCGCCCCGGATGGGAAGGTCTTGGGTTCGCTCCCAGGTCGACCCAGCCTTGAGTGGGTACCAGGTGCAGTCCTGGGAAGTAAATTTTTACTCCTCACATTACAGAAAATAATGGTGAAACATTAAGACAGAATAATATATTTTTAGCTCTGAAGATTTTACAACTACCTGCCAATATATTGGTGTCTAATAAAATAAAAAGCTTAAACATCTACATGTATAATCATCTGTGATTAAAAAAATTAACTTCCCGGTTATAAATTTATAACAATAAAATAAAAAATTACCACAATGATATGTGAAATTGATAAAATAAAAAAAATAAAAATCAAAATTTTCAATAAATACCCTGAAAAAAAGCAATAAAAAAGAATTTTTGCTTGCTACATACATCTAGTTTTAACATATGGCTGTGAATCCTGGACAGTCGGTAGGCAGGCTAAACAATTTCTGGAGGCCTCGAAGATGTGGTTTTACGGAAGAATGCTTAGAATACCTTGGAAAGCCCAAAAGAGCAACCAAGAGGTTTTGAAAGAGGCGGGAGCCCGAAGACAACTTATCACAGAAATCAGAAGGAAACAGTCATCGTTTTTCGGCCATGTTATGAGAAGAGGGAAAATAGAACATGTTGTGACCACTGGAAAGATATGTGGAGGGAGAGATAGAGGAAGACAACGAGAGAAGATGCTTGACAGTTTTGTTGCATGGCATGGAGGTGTGTCGGCACACGAGCTGATAAATGCTGCAGGAGATCGCAGATTATAGAGAGGCATGATCACCCACACCAGTTGGCAAGGCACTTGATGATGATCTGAAAATTTAAACTAACACTGATTTCATCTTCTTCTTCTTCTGCAGCATTCCAAGCCTTAAAGTTCATCACTATAGATATCACCCACCATTCATCTCTATGATTAGTCCTTATTCAAGTTGGTCCAAGTGTTTGCAGGTCAGCTGGTATATTATCTCCACTGTCTTCTTGGTGGGCCTCGTGGTCTACAACCATTCAACTCCCTCGTGTAAACAGTTTTTACCTCTGTGTCATCTGGCATTCATTCAATATGCCCCAGCCAATTCAATCTATTAGCCCTCATGATACCAGTGATTTTCAAACTCTGAAAACTGCTTTATAAACTTTAAATAAACAGAAGGGGGAACCATTTTAGGCCGTTAAATATTATGAATTAATCAAGTAACAGAAAGTATCGTGAATGGCACTCATAGAAAGAAGTAGAAAGATAGAAGAACACACTTATAAACTTTAAACAGACATGAAACAAACTGATCTCTAAACTCACCAAAAAATTTCACATCTTTTACTAAATTGACAGCTTTAGAGTCAAACACCAAGTGGCTGCAATGGATCGGGGCTCCTCGGAGAAAAGACGCTTTTCTCAGACAAGTATACAACATCTTCCAGACAAATGCATCATTCTTGTTCTCCACATAAAGCCATGGTGCCAAAGATTCCACACATGGTCGTGGAAAGTCACTTAAGACATACCTGAGGATAAATAAGTTTGAGTCTAAAGCAGAGTTACTATTTATGTGGCCCCCCCAAAAAACAGTATTTTCTTCTTCTTTGCGTGCAACTGCTGTAAACTCCGGTAGAAAGTTCTGGTCAGTTTTCCACTTATTTTATTTTTATTCAAGGACTTGAGTTTGTATGACATGCTTATTAGGGATTCAGTTGGTCTACCCCCCCCCCCCTTTCCCAAATAAGGCCCGGAGCCTACAAGGGGAAGAAACTGTGGTGACAAAGAGAGGCAGTAGATTTTTTTTAATGTGAGAATATCTTGGAAGGAGAGTATAAAAATCTGAAGAAATGACAGCTGCAGGCGTCACCACATCTCTTATCAAAACCAAAAGTAAGATAAAGGAAGGCAAACGGATCTGGCCAACAATTAACTATTTGAGGAAAGGCCAAATGGATAGACAATCAAAGTGCAGCTGGCCCCCATAGGTATTGGAACCCTTCCCTCACTGGAGCAGAGGCTCATTCCTCATCCCACACACATGCAATAATTTGTTGGTTAATCATTAACAGTTATGACAAGTGGCTTGCTGACTGGCATTAGCTATCATGCCTCCCCACAACCCGCACCCCAAATGCAGATATCAGTTTGTGTGCTAACACCCCTCAATGCCATAATAAGAATCTTCTCAGATTGTTTTCCTCTAACTTTCTTTACCCCCAAACCTGTCCACTGATCACAGCATGCTCCAGTTTCTATATAGCAAGAACATTTGCTACAGCCAGTGTTTCCTAAACTTCTCTTAGTCGCTGAGCCTTTTTTTCAATTAACAATTTTCCATGGCGCCCTAACCTAAGTAAAAGTATGACTATTCGTATGTAAGAGATAACAACAAATAAAAGGCGTGTATCTTCGAATATTTCGCAACGCCCCTGTGAAGAGGTCGTGGTCCCTGTGAAGAGGTCGTGGCTCCCCGGGGTGCACAGTTTGGGAATCACTGGCTACAGCATATTTAAACAAATAATTACCATCTCCACAAAGCAGGGATGGAAGTGATTTCCAAGTCGTCTGCAATATCTTTGAATCGTTTACATGTCTGCCTGATGTGAATAAAATCTGGCCCACTGAGATATGGCAGTATCATTTGAACAAGCTCTGAGGGCAGCTAAGGAAACAAAAACAAAAACATTAAAAAGACATTCAGAAAGTTTCCATTTCTGATAACTCTGCAGAAAATACATGTGTACAGCAAGAGTCTACTTTGCTCCTGCCAACTTGTGCCTATGTGACTGCCAAAAGCCATCTTTTCTACTTTAACTGTCAAAAACCATTACTTCACCCGTGACTCTACAAAAAAGCAGTTTCTTTCTCCTGTGACTCTACCACAATGTTTTCTCATGTGACTCTGCTAAAAGCAATCCTTTCTCCTGCAGCTTAACCAAGAGCTATCTACAAAGGTCATCTTGTTTTCTGTGACTACCAAAAGCAGTTTTTTTTTTCTCCTGCTCTCCTGTAACTCCACCAAAAGTCAACTTTTCTCCTGTAACTCCACCAAAAGTCAACTTTTCTCCTGTAACTCCACCAAAAGCCAACACTTTTCCTGCTCTCCTGTGACTCTACCAAAAGCCAGCTTGACTACCAAAATCCATATTCTATCCTGTGACTTTACTTAAAGCCACATTTTCTTCTACTTTCCTATGCTTTTGCCAAAAGCCATCTTTTCTACTGTGACTGTCGGAAGCCACCTTTTCTCCTACCCTCTTGTGCCTCTGCAAAGCCATCCTTTCTCCTCTGTCTCTATTTTATTTTTAAAAAAACATCTCTTCTCCTTCCTCTGAGACTCTACCAAAAGCCATTTCTTCTCTTACCCTCCTGTACGTCTGCCTTCTTCAGTCAAGGTATACTCTACATTCCCTCTTTAGTTATCAGGTATTCAGGTAATTACAGTTCCAAATTCATAACAAACAGGTCACTTCATAGTTGCTCCATTCTGTGCCAAGGAAAACCACACAGATTTCCATCGCTGTCCCTTGTGGAAAATTTAGAGACTGCGGTATCAGCAAATCTAACAGCACTCACATACAGTAAATGCACGAAGTAGCCATCAGAAGTGCCAACACAAACAGTTTGACACTAGAAATGCAGTTCATCATCAGCGAAAGCAGCAGTTACAAAAGATCAGTAGCTGTACACGTGATTAATCACATAAGGAGCACCAGTTCTGTGGCAATCACAAATCACGTTGGACACAGCTGAAAAGCATTCTAAATGAAATATTTAGCTCACAGTGTCACACCATGCACTCAACTCAGTAGCTGGGCAACAAAACTACATCCTTTCCATCTACATATGGAGGAAAATGTCAGAAGCAAAACTAGCCGTGACTAAAAACAGCAAACCCACCTTTCCTCCATACTGATTGGAAGTGCAAACAAAATGGGACACTTCACAAATTTGCGTGTCATTCTTCCTGTGACAGCAGTTGTGAAGTGCATTAATGTGTTCCTGTAGCTGTTCAGTAAAAACTGTCATCACCCCTTAAAACTGTGTCACTTTGCATAACAAAACAGTGACTTTATAACAATTATATTAAATAACTGCTGACAGTTTGTCCCCTCCAAGATTGCACTCCACAGGATTAACACCTTAAAGATGAGAAGTCTGCCTGTACAAATCCCAGTAAGTCCCATTTAGCAGCAAGGTTATAATAGGGTCCTTGATGGTTATGAAGTAACCTGTCAAACGCACCAGGCAATAATAGCTAATTACTTCACTTTACTTAGTCGCTCCTCTACTACCTTGGGGTGTAGAGGTTTGCCAGAGAGATCGCCAGACGTCTCTATCAGCCGTTTTCTTTCTGGCTTTGTTCCATTCCAGTCCTCTGTTAGTTAGGGACTGTCGGATTTTGTCTTCCCAGCGCACCCTGGGTTGTCCTGGAGGTCTGGTTTTAGCCTCCCATGGTGGCTGATTTTCTCCCATTCTACATACATCCCAAACCATTGTAACTCTGACTGATCCACTCGGGTTTGTAAGGACTGGGTATCAAGATCTTGACGTATTGTCTGATTGCGGACTTTGTCCCTTCTTGTCACTCGGACCACCTTTCTCAGATAACTATAATAGCTAATTAAAGAATTAAATCATCAGCAACACACACACACATATACTGGACAGAAAGCTACTTCAGAAAAGTTGGGTGCCCCAATAATATGAACAGACAGAGGGGTTTGCTTTTTATGGTGCAACATTAGGCAGATCCAACAACAAAAATGCCCCTACTGCTTGTATTTACTATTTTCCCTGTGTATCCTGGGGGGGGGGGGAGGAGGGGAGGGGTTTTGGAGCCTGAGGATTTCAGGCAGCCTGGTTTGTTCTGTCGCCATGGACTATGTAGATTACAATTTTATCCCCCCTCCCCGGACAGAATAAAATAAACAATCTCAACAAGGATTTGAACTCTGGTATCCCACAATTTGAGCCCAGCATTCTTAATCGTTCGGACATAACACAGTAAAAGCACCTTTTTTCTACGCATCATTTCTTTCAGCACTACTGGAATTTAGACTGGAATTTTCAAGATCTTTCCACCCTAGAGGTCTAGAAGTTGCAATTTAATTAACAAAACTGAACTTTACTTATCACTTAGAATCATCATCAAGGTGTACCTTGCCACGCAGCGTAAGTACTCATATTTCCCCAAAGATTTTTGTCCTCAGATTCTGAATCAATTCCACTGATCATATTCGTTCATGCCATCGCATGAGGTTGCCAAGCATCGTTTATCTTGGTACCTTGTCCTTGTTTAATATAAGTGTTGTTAAAAAGTATTTACCAGGCGAAATCTGAGAACAATGGCCTTCTAGCAGCTTAATAATTAAACACTACACTGCCTTTCGTGGATGGATGTCTAGCAATTGCACTGCGTGAGATGAATTATTTCGTCGTAATTTTGTAAAATGCATCGTACCATTGGCATAAGGTTTGAATAATAAATGGTTACTTTCACTGTCCCAATGAGTGGCCACTAGCCCTATGACTACAATTTGGCGCTTTAAAATAAAGTTTAGCTCTGTCAACTGACAAATGGGCACTCTTCCATATTATTTACTGTCCAAAACATTCCTTTTAGAGCCTCAAGGGGTTCAAGAGGCTACAAAGAGGTCAAGGGGTTATAAAGAGGTTATACAAAATATGGAACAACAAAATATGGTACAGTAAGCGTTGTGAGAAATAGTTTTCGATCGACTGAAGTGACGTGGGGAGGAATAATTTTCGATCCATCGGAGCGCTGTGTCGATGGGTAGCAACGTTATTCGTTAAGATCATCATCATCAGTCTTCACTTCTGCCGTTAAGTGCTGTGAAATAATAAAATGAAATTATATAATAAAAGAAATCATAGTTTGTAGTGTTCCTGTTCCATATTTTTAACTACATGACCTCTCAAGTCCCTAACAACGACCTCTTGAGGCCCTGAATGGGTCTTTTTGTCTTTGAATAATATGGGGCCGGTATTCGGAAGAGTGCCGACAAATGTTTATATTAGTTACCATACAAATTCTCAGCAATCACTAGACTACTATTCCTGTGAAATCAAGAAGTTTCTGAACGTTCTGTTATAATAACTTTAGTTAACAAATGTATAAAAATAGTCAACCTGATCCATTCTTGGTTTACAAGCAATGTTTATGTTTGTTTACTTTTTGACAAACAACATCGTCAACGTCGGCTAGCCGGGAAAGGGGAACTAACTTAGTTCGATAACAACAGGAAGAATTGCCAGATGTTTGTCAAAGTGTTGCTGAAATTCGGTTCCTCTTTCATCTCATCCTTCTTCTTCTTCTCGAAAGACCGATTAACACGCAGTGTTGTGCTTTAAGCTAGCTTGCGATATCTGGACTTTTCAGCCCGTCACATCCAATCTCAACAAACTCCTGACTGTGAGCTGTTTGTGACATACATGTGCCTGAATGTTAAGGTGCACTGTAATATTAAGAACTCCACAGGGAAGCAAGTACAGCAGGGGTCCACCACTCATCAGTAGAAAGATCCCTCGTCTAAGATTGTTTCTGTCCATTACTTCCTAGACAATCTCGGAAGATGGGCTCAACCTAGTCATGACTCCAGGCCTTGATCTTCTCCTGCGTATCTTCCCCTTTGTAATACAGAAACTGAGTCACAGACAAAAAATCTGAAAGCGTCTACTCAGTTCAGAAGCGTAGCGATGAAAAAGAGAGCAAACGTTCGGCTTCCACCAGAGGAAACAGAGTCATGTACGTGAAAAATCTCCCCAAAATCACAGGGGAAGAGATGTCTCCCCTACAAAATCACAGGGGAAGAGATGTCTCCCATAAAAAAATCACAGCGAAAGAGATGTCTCCCATACAAAATCACAGCGAAAGAGATGTCTCTCATACAAAATCACAGCGGAAGAGACGTCTCCCATACAAAATCACAGTGAAAGAGATGTCTCCGATACCAAATCAGAGCGGAAGAGATGGGGGGGGGGGGGGATTCGTCAGATACGACTAGGCAATACCCTAGAGACGGGCTCAGCAACTTTTGTTGTGTTTGAAGACATATTTGACGTTAAGAATGCCTGCGAGCACTTGTTTGGTTTCATCGTCTGCAATCCCTACCTTGTTGTCTTATAATACCAGTTAATCAGGGCATTCAAGAAAACCAACACCGACAAGAAGAAACAAAAACTTGATCAGATAAAGAGTAAATATGAATTGTCCACTCCTGACAATCTTAAAAAAAGAAAATGAAGAAGTATACGGTTTTAGAACAATGTAAACAACATCTCGGAATGATAGAAAGAGAAAAAAAAAAAAAAAAGCAGTCTTCGTGACAGATGAAAACCGCAGAGTCTTCTATTTCAATCCTTCTGCTAGAAAAGTTATATCTAGCGGCAGGTAGCCTTTATGAAAGCTATAGTGCAGTCCAAATCTCGATGCGTGCCATGCATCTTTGTCTTCACTGAGGTTGGAAACGGCCAAATTGTGCCTCTGTTGTCAGCATACAGCTGACAATGCTGAAGCTATACGGCTCGGTTGTTAAAATGATTAGAGAAATTAAACATAGACTGTCATTGTGTTTTAGGAACAACGTGTAAAGGAGTGGACTTGAGAAGTGGGTAACCGCCAGCATTGAGATTTGAGGGGTCGATTGGGGTGGGTGAGGGGGGGGGGGTAGTCAGAAGGGAAGGAAGACAACTGACCAATTTCTGGATGGTTTGGCCGAAACAGGAGCACTGACCTGTTCGGGGTTTCTCGTGTTCGTATGAGATGGCGAAACTTGACCGCTATGTTCATCAGCAAAGATCATGACGATGATGCCTGAAATTATGTAGAAGCTCCGGCGCCCCCCCCCCCTCCCTCTCCCCCCCCCCCACAATAATTATCAGGAGGCAGAGGCCCCGACCACCATATACTGTCATGATCTTTTAAGCATTTGTTTATACATATATTATTTTAAATATATCATTTGTTATTTGCTATTCAGTGCACAATAATAAAAAGACAGTAACTATTATTATAGTTTATTAGTATTACTATTACTGCGCTAGCCATATTCCCTTTAGCCGTCTCCCCCCCCCCCCCACCCTGCCTCACTATTTTCTAGGGGCGGGGTGGGTGGGCTGAAAGTCTTGCAGAAATGCACAATAATAATAATGATAACAATTAATAATACTTATTGTTTTTTCGCAATTAAACAGCACATTAGCACCTTCTCGATATTTTTGTCTGCGGCATCTCGCCTGATATAACCATCAGATAAAATAACATTTACTTTGTCATTTCCGTGTTCATTTTTCGGGCTATCTAAACCCCCTCAGCAGTCATTGGGTGATGTAGTCAACGTGACATTGTCTGCTGTTGGTTTCCATAACATTTTTCTGATATCCCTGTGTTCCAAGGTTGGCTAGAGTACATGCACGGCTGTATGCAATACAACCCCACCGTGCCTGTTCCCTGTGGTCCTAATATAACTAGCGGTATAACGGGGTTTCTGTGATCTCTCCACGGGTGATCCTCATCCGATGGTGGCACTTTGTGTCACCGGGGGGGGGTTTGTCGCCCTGGGTGATGTCTTTGTGGGGTAAAACGTACTCACTTACTTGAATACTGCTGTCTTTAAGAACATTCCGTGGTGAAACTCAAATCCTTTTTACCACTTTTGGAAAAACCGCGATTTTTAATTAATAAACCGTCCACTGTGGAAAAAAACAACCTTTGGTTGGTTGCTAATTGTCAGACGCATGGTCAGAGGAGAGTCTTAAAGTTAGTTGCGTATCCTTTACAGCGTTGCAGAACCAACACTGGCCATTTTCTGTCTGTTGTGGTTTTTCTGGGCAAATTTTGCCACTGCTCTCTGTACGGTCGGCTTCTCGATGCCACTGTCGAACTAAAGCAAGGCCCGCATCTGGTATGGAACCCGGTACACCGGTATTGCGAAGCGCGTTCCTGATGCATAAGCTACATACTCAGACTCAGAGAGTATGTTTGTTTGTTTTAGTATCCAGAAAGCCATGAGTTGTTAACCCTTAGGCTCAGTATTATGGATATCGCAACCTTTCGGTCTTGATTCCATTTTAAATACCGTAAATCTGGGAGAAATGTGGCTTTTCTGCCTACCCCCGGGAGTGAACCCGGACCACAAGGAGTTCGTCACCCGCTCACCGCGCAATCCGGTTTAGCCAATTACGCTAGAGAGACGGGCACTCAGAGAGTATAAGGAAGGTAACATAGGCGAAATATTCAGAGTAGAATCCCTTGTGATGATTAGAAGGTGTCTATTGTGCTTCGTTTCTCTGTGGAGTGTCTACTACAAGCATGGATGGTGTGTAAACTTTCAACTCAACAATACTGTGAGCTGACACTGGGCGTACAACACACTTAACCAAAGGCTACGATTTGCCTACATTGTTTGAACCACCCGATTACGTAACTGTTCTAAAAAGTGGCCCTAGCCAAGGGGCATATCCGAGAATCACGTGGGGTATTTCACCGCCAGATAAAGAAACTGACCAGCAAGTAACGGTAATCGGGTGGCCTCATTGGTAAACACTTGATAAGTAGAGAAAGTAGTGACCTCAGTTTTGAATGCTGATTAGTTTTAAGTTATTCATGTGTTGTCAAAGTGTGTCTCACTTGAAGGTATAATTTGAACAGGGAGTAGTTGCCCCTGTATGGTCAAGGTGTTTCTCTCCGGGACCAATTTGGATATCATATTTTCTATGGTTAGTATGTGTTGCTTGCTTTTAAATTTCTAACTTTTAGAGACTATAGAAAATTCTATGCAATTTTAAAATGTGTCACTCGAGAAGAGAAAATGCCTTATAATTCGAATTCTTGAAAAAAATTGACGGTGGACATGATAGAAGATGTAAAGGACAGAGAAGACTCTGGACTGTGTGACATCATCGTGGCATGGAAGACCTTGTCAGAAAATAATTCAATGTATATACGGGAACGTCAGTTCTGTCGCTAAGACGATGCGAACGCTTCGCAATGCCGGGTTAAATCCCCAGCTGCGGGCCTAGCGTTGGTTTCGACAGTAGTATCAGGAGGCCGACCGCCCAGAAGGAAATGGCAAACTACTGGACGTAAATTTGCCTAGAGAAACCACACAACCCCAGGGGCTGCTGGGGTTGATTCTGCAACTTTCTGTAAAAGATACGCAACTAACATTTGTATACGGGAACAGACGGATGTGGAAAGACATTTAGACTGTTACTACACATTGCTTAGGATGGAAATTGTTTTACCATTGTCATTAAGAAGGTAATTATCAATTATTCAGGAGCCCACCCCCCACCCCCGGTGTACCCAAGTTATCTCTTTCTTCTTTTTTTCCCTATCGTTTATTTCAAAATTTTACTACAGTTTAGGTTTAAACAACACATCAACATCATGGCACACGGGGTAACCCATAAGTACTCCACTTTAACTCTACTCAAGTCCAAAGAATCTCAACGCGGTGCACGAACTCCGTAGAACCGGCGAGGATCCTGAAATACTTTGGGTACGTTTTTAACTCTAAATTTTACCCAGGCAGTGCCGGTAGGCTACTCTTTTTCGATTTCCAATTTCCCAAGGATTTGTTACGTGTGCAGCAATACACACGGGCGTTTGATATTACTACTCAGGGGAAATTGCCTCATCTATTTTTACTATTTTGCATATTATTATTACACATTTAAGCAAAGATTGGCTTTTTTTTAAACACCCTCATTGGCAAATATATAAGGGGTTTGATCCACACCCCCCCCCCCCACCCCAATGTTTTCTCTGCGTCGGCACTCATACACTGATATTAATCAGTGTCCAGAACGCTGCAAGCGAAATTTTCAAAAACAATAATTTGCATATTGGAATTTTAGCTTGGCAAGCAACAGAGAATCTGAAAATGGAAGCACTTGCTGCAGATGTCACCGACACTTCTGATACGACAGCAGACGCCCCACAGCTAACGGTTCCATGCCAGGAGCGCCCCCCAGCGGGCCCAGGTACGCCGTAGTGTTGAAACTGTGTGTCTCGTGTTAAACTATTTTCCATATTTCACAGTTGAGAAAGTCCTCTTATGGGTTGCGGGACGCTATTCTAGTGGGGAAAACAGAATACACCCTCATCTCCCCTCCCCTAAACAAGCCTGATTTTAAAGTCGACTAAAAAAGGGTGTTTCTTTAGAAGTCAGAGTGCATCTGTCTGGGAGGCGAGAAACCAACAGCTGCATGCAAGTAAGTCAGGTCTGTAAAATGGAGGTGCAACTTAAACCCAAGTTCTGGGCCAAGATTTAATCCAGAAGTGGACGAACAGCTAGAACTTTTCGCTGGAGTTTACAGTGAACAAGAAAGAGCTTGAGAAAATAAGGCTAACTAGGAGTGACAATGCTTGATTTTCATGTAGGAGATCTGGATTCGATAATCGCTACCCCCCCCCCCCCCCCTTCCCTTCAACAACAACAAAAATCCGCACCTGCACAGTCCGTGGCGACAGCACTAGCTATACGGACCTTAATGTGGGACTCAAAGATCCCCTACCTACATCGCACACGTGGTGATTACTGTTAGTAGTGACATATTTTGATTGTATGTATGTGTGTATGTATGATGTACATAAATAAAGGGAGTCGCCGTGTCGTAGACGCTCACGTGCGGATCGGAAGTCGTGGGTTCGCCCCCCTGACAGAGCCGAACTGTTTTCAGAAATGACCTTGACACTCAGGTCGACCCAGCCTTGAGTGGGTACCGGCTGCAGTCCCGGGAAGTAAAGCTGGCCGGCGTGGTGCTCATCACATCACCCATCTTGTGCCGATTGGTCTATAACAAATATAGGTCTAGCCCTTGATGCCCTATACGCCTAAAGGCGTGGAACAAAGACCTCTACTTTACTTACACATATAAAGGTTAAAAAGATAATTTAGAATCACTAATGTAGAGCTCTAAGAGGAGATAACTAAAGAAGTTCTGGTGCACTGAGAGGTGAAGAAAATACACTGGCGTTCGATAGGATACCCGTTAGGAAAACGTTAGACCAATAGAACTAGAAATCTTTGCATTGGAACCCACAGGGACATTGAAATAGGGAAGACCAAACACACACATACAAATGGAGAAGGGAGCTAGAGAATGAAGTTAAAAAAGAATGGGGGGGGGGGGGCATTTGTAGAGCTGCAATCGAGAGCGAAGGATAGAACGACTTGGCGTGAGTTAGCTGAGGGCCTGTGCTCCATTAGGGGTTACAAGGCAGAAGAAGAAGAATGC